CTCCTTCTAAAAAATGAATGCTATCTTAGGGTGATTTTACTTAACTTGTGAAACAAACAATAATAACTGTATAATAGTCAAATAGACACAAAATAAAACCTCCATTTACTTTGTCTACTAACTACTTTACCAGTTAAGTAAAACCTGTCTTGATGAATTAAACTTCACACAAATAAATTTCTAACTTTAAACAACCAAATCTTGTTAATAGGTATGAAAAAAATTGTCAAATATGTTTTTGAAGCAAAAAGAGAATTATTACAACAAAATGTATTATAAATACAGTAAACTTTTTCAAATATTATTTTTTTAGTTTTAAATCTGCAAGGATCCGACACCACCTCGGAATAAGAAAAAAACAAAGTTTTTTAAGCTGATTTTTTCCTTTTTTCGTTTACCATGTGGTTGAATTTTAGAAWAGTTATTTAGGTTTGTCAACACAAKAATTTGATGTCAATTTTTGCCAGGATCTATGTAATATTTGAATTATTGGAAAAATATGAAAAACTGAGTAAAAAAGAGAAATACTCTGGGCATACCAATTTCAGATTAGAATGAAATTCGGATAAAAATTATTAAATAAATGGTGGGAACTATGTACAGCTCTAGTAAACTTTCAATCTTATCTTTAAGAAGGTATATTAATATTAATGCTTAAAGAATAAATTACCTAGACGTTTTCCACTTATCCTCGTGTCCTCATTGATTCTGTGTGGTCTATTTTCTGTAGGTAGGAATGTCAGGTCACCGGTGGTTGCAACACCTGCCCGATATTACATCACCAAGGGCCTCATTCTCGCAGGTAGAAAGGATGACAAGACCCCGGTGGGCGTAACACCTACCTATATTAGATCACCATGAGCCCACTCACCCGCAGGGAGAATGTTGGGTGCAACACCTGACCGATATTGCATCACCACGTGCCTTACTCTCACCGGTATAAGAATTTCAAATCCCCGGTGGGTGCAACGACCAGTAAGATACTATTACGAAGGTTTGGCCAGAACTCATCTGAGCATTGTCCCAGTTGTCCCTACTTTTCCTGTGCTTCCAAGTACGATATCTAGTCCTTTATCTGGTATACCGTACACCCGGATATATGAATAATAAAGCTTCGTACCGTATACTCGGATATGCGAATAATAAAGATTTGTACCGTATACTCGGATATGCGAATGATAAACATTTGTTCCCATACCACCCTGCTTTTATCCAACGGCACACGTAAAGTTTCCTTAAACATTTCTTAAAAACAAAAAATCAAGTGATCTAGTAAAGTACATTGCAGTTCGATCCCAAAGAGTATCGGCTGAAAATTGACTAGAAATTCAAGAGACCTTTTCTAAAACAACGAGAAGTCGGTCTCTGGATGATTGACGTAGTAGATCCAGTAACCGACAACAAAGATGAAGTAACACAAAGGGAAGATAACTCGTGCGGTGCGGTCGATCCAGTGCACATCCAAATAGGGTAAATTTTTGTCATTCTTGCTATTCTGTGGTTTGGGTTTAGGTGCGAGGCATGTAGTGACCTTATCCTTTACAGTGGGTTCTCGACCGTTGGAAGTTTTGTCCATCATGGTTACAATGGTATCGGGTGTCAGGTCCTGTAGGRAATTAGAAAATTTGTTATCAATATTCAACGCTCGGTCTTGATGCGCAAATAACGRCATTTTTAGGTGCGCCAAAATGTAGTTTTGGTGCACAAATAACAACTATTTGGTTCGCGATTAAGGGCCTATTTGGTGCGCAAATAACATCTATTTGGTGCGCGAATAGCGACATTTTTGATGCGCAAATATGTTTTTTTGGCGCGCAAGTACGGGCGTTTTTTCGTGGGCAAATCGCGGGTGTACGCCTGAAAGCCCTGTTATTTTTGATGCGCAAATACCAATGTTTTGGTGTGCATGTATAGGCATTCTTGGTGCACATAAAGTGGTTTTTGTGCGCAAATACTACCGTCTGTTTAGTATTATAACTAGCGCAATAAAATTCACAAAATAAATTTTTATCTCAGAATTTACCTGTTTATCGGGCGAGTTGAGTGGCTCGCTAGCGGTTTCATCTTCTTCCTTTGGTCGTCTAAAGTTGGGATAAGTATTGAGGACAAGTATGTATTCTAAGAGTGACATGAATATAGACCCAAGAGACGTCATCAGGAAGTAGTCAAGGGCTTTGGAGTAGCTGACTTTAGGCATGCTGGAGTTGACAGTGCCGTACAAGAGGATGGTGGTCAAGATTGTAGTAATACTGAAAAGTACATGAATAAGCAGTTGATATATAAAATATAAATGCATTTTCTTCAAAGCAGGACTACGTTCGGTGGTGCTACTAATGCGCTGCTCCTGAAAYTGAAATTTCAAACTTATTGCAAACTGCAGTCGTTTCGTCGGCGCGGCTCAACTTCGAAACCAAGATTTGCAACAATCGTTCATGCCCCCGCGAGTGGTTTTGAGAAGAAACCCAATTACCAAACTACTCGTTAACATTCCTTTTACACGTCCCACGAAACCAATACCAAGACAATATTTTATAACCAAACCTTTGCAGTGAGGGACCTTTTAATGAATTTCGCTCCAAACATACTACCGCTATTTTCACTATTTACTATAGACAACACTCAACTCACGTGTTGATTTTTACAAACGGAGGAAACCGGAGAATCCAGAGAAAACCCTCGTAAAAACAAAACCTCAAAATAACTCAATAGACCAGTTTCTAGTTTCAAATTACCGCTGTGTTCCTTTGATCACAGACTCATTTGCACAGGGTTAGCCTCGTATCAGTGTCTAAATATTCACAAATACCAACGGTAAAGTCAAGAATGCACAACTTCAACAATGCAAACACTTTGAAACTTGACGGACCTTGACTGGAACACGTGAATATTCTGCACAAAATCGAGGCTAATTCTGTGCAAATGAGTCTGTAATCAAAGGAAYACAGCGGTAATTTGGAATTCGAAACTGGTCTATTGACATAAGTGGTTCTGGAAAGCTTCGAACCAGTTTCCTCAGGAATGAATTACACAGTGGTGAGAAACAGCAAGACGCTCGCGCCAAATCGTTCAAACATATTCAATAAAAGTAATATAAAACGGCTACTCATGTCTCTTTACAGTAATATAAACACGCTTGGAGCTGTAGGGCACTCAAGAAGCAAGAGAAACTCTCAGCTACGGGTCGTGTTCCGAAGCTTCCTTCTCTCGTGCTCTTCAGATCACAGCGTGTTTATATCACAGTACAGAGAAGTGCGCGCGCAATTTATATTCCTTAAATTTATACAAATGATACACACCTGAGGGTGACCCTGGCAGGAACAGCGTTCCTATGGATCCAAAAGGTACACCAAGACAATATGACTAGGATCATTGCTGGCATGTAGGTGGCCGTTATGAAATAGTTGACGCGACGCTTGAAGCGGAATTTGGCATGGAGACTGGCAAACGAACCTGTCGGAGAAACACAGTTCGTGTTATGCGGTCAAGGGTTACGTAAGTTACGTAAGTAAGTTCAATTTTTTGATACCTTTACTGTTGGTTTGCGAATTAACAATAGTGCTAGCACCCATGAATTCAAACTGTGCCATCTCTTTGGAAACGATCTCGACACTTTGTTTGCTTCCTCCCTTCCAGACGTAGTCCACGTCAGATCTAGTGTGCGCATCTGTAAAGACAGAAAAATAACCGCATCTATTAGCCATTCCGAGGTTGAGGGGAAAAAAGGRAAAAACCCGGGTCGAGTTGGCATTGCAGTGCATTCTGGGGCTGTTTTAGGCGACGAATTTGTGTGAATTTATTTTTCATATTCATGTGTTGCTCAGGGTTAGCTTCAATATATTCATGAGTTCCAGTCAAAGAACCTTGGAATTTCAAAGTGTTAATAATTGTTGAAGTTATGCATTCTTTACCTTACYGTTGGTATTTGTGAATATTTAGACACTGAAATGAGGCTAACCTGAGTAAATGAGTCAGTAATCAATAAACACAGCGGTATTTGACTACTAGAAGTAAAACATGTGTATTGAGAKGTTGATTTTGCGAGAAAACTGTTGTGAGCAACGTTGCAAACGCAACCACGAATGAAATTCTACTTCTGCAACGACATCTCTCTGCATACAATGTTGCGTGACACAGATACCTTGTTTCCGGGCCTTTGAGGTTACTTTAATAGACATGATTTCGTAAGACGGTAATACTCACAGCTTTCGATAATCAGAGGACACTCTTGTGTGTCCATTGGGTACAAACGTAGGTCCATATCACATTGTGCAACGAGAGTTATCCTGCGTTCAAGCAAAAAAAGCGTATGTAAACCCCCTTATATTTTTCATGGTCAACCTGTGGTCACGTATTCTCTCTGGTTACCCTGTGGTATACCTTACCCCCTCCCCCTCGTTCTCTGCCCGTGGTATTCCTTTCCCCTTCCCCCTCTACCATAAGATACCATCTACCATCAGGGTTTATCATGACTCTCACAATCTCTCTGGTTACCCTGTGGCATTCCCTACCCCTTCCCCCTTGTCCTTAATAATAAGATATTTTACCTGGTACTGAAGTAAATTTTTCCATCAGGATTTATCATGACTCTCATGTTCTCTCTGGTCACCCTGTGGTATTCCCTACCCCCTACCCCCTCGTCCTCAACAATAAAATATTTTACCTGGTACTGAAGTAAATTTTTCCATCCGGATTTATCATGACTCTCATGTTCTCTCTGGTCACTTTGTGGTACTTGGCTAACTTCGAGTTCCAGAAATAGGTGTCTGGTGTCCAGAACAACTCAGTAGCGTCTGCCGCCATGGTGAACGGAGTGCTGAAGTTGTGAGCAAAACGAGGATCGTACCACCACTGACGGAAGAATATATCCATCGAATAGATCTAAAAAAAGGAAAATATCATTGGATGATATAAGGTGCGCTCTAATTGGTTGAGCAGAGTAAAAGATACTTTTCTTGCGGCATCTTACCATCTGTGCTTCTTTGATTTCACCAAAAGAGACCACTTTAAATTCTACTTCGACTAAGACWGGTGGACCTAAAAGTAAAGTAAAAAATTGTTAGTCTCTGCTATATTTCTTAGGGAATTGAAGAGAACGAGGAAGTTAAGAGCAAAAACCTAAACGGAGCCGAGTAGAGAAGTGCCTTATCTCCCTCAGGGCAGAATATATTCTATTAAAGCCAATGCATTTGTTAAACACGCACGCATTTAAGATACTTAGCTTTGYAAAAACACATTAAATCTTATCAGATGTACTAAATACAAGAAAAACAGGTTTAATCATRAAATCTGTTAAGACAATCGATTACTTGGTTTTCAAATAGCTTTTTCGTTGCCTTGATTCTTCACTCTGATTGGCTAAAAAGTTCGTGACAAACGAATTGCGCAAAAAGTGCATTTTCTTCTTTAAATGTTTCAGTTCGTCTCGAAAAAAGCTCAAAGAAACATTAGACAGTTTTCTTTTTTAAATGAAAAGGTTTTTAGAGCTAAAGTGAAGTATTCTCGCGGGAAAATAGTTCATGTGAGCTGAGACAACGTAAAAAGGGGAAAAACTAGGCGAGAAAAAGAGCGAACACGAAAACAGGTAAAATTTAGACTATTTTACTTTCTATTTCTATTAAATTTCTGTCATTTTAGTAAGAAACAGTTTTATTCTATTTYTCAATAATGATCATAACTTTTTATACAGCCTAAAATAACTCAAAATATCTTTCTTAGAATACTGAAAAACAACATGAAATGCTACAAGGCTAACTTAAATTTAATGGATCTTATACATTAATGTTGATACCAAAATCAAAAAAAGAAAAGAAAAGGAAAAAAAGAATAGCAGTAGAATTTTATTTCCCGATAAAATAAAGAAAATAGCACACTTTTGTTTAGATTCTGCGTGCTTCAATTAAGTTCTTTTTGCTTTTGATTAAAAAAGGTTAGGCACCGGAAATTCGACCGCTTTCTCTACTGATTCACATCTGAGGTCTTATCGTTTTCATTCGAAAATAATATTCTGATCTTAGACAGCTGTGAGTTGAAGATAACTAAGAATGTGCCCTTGGGGAATGAAATTATAGAAATGTATCAGTCCTGTGGTTTACAGAAAGAATATTTGGAAGGTAATGTATGGTAAAGTAYCTTAGATGCGTGGCTATCATACAGAAGAAATCACACTTTTTCTYCATGGGATTTTGCCATTTTTCTCGCATCAAAGATAATAATTTTCAMAATTTTAAGCTTCAAATTTTCAAATCAAAAGTAAGTAAAGCAAGTTTTTTTCTATTTATTAATTTTTTAACAGTGTTGTCACAGGAATTGTTTCTTTGCGGGTTAAAGAATGTTAAAATATAAATGCGGCTTAAGATCAAGTCACGCATGCTTATTACTGACTTTACGATTCCGATCTTGCAGTCATCTTGTCTCGGCCAAGAAATGGAGGATTTTGGGTAAAACTAAGAATCGCGAAGGTTTTCGTTTGTTGATTTGTCCGTTTGTTTGTTTGTTGTTRTTTATTGTTCGTTATGCTGCTAAGCTTTATCCTTCCATAAAGTTGTGATTTATTGCTACAATACCGAAACGAATAAAGTAAACGTTCAAGTTTGCGCAGAATCGTTTTGGCGAAGGACAAAACAAACGAGGGCTCTAAAGAATAAGACGTATTATTACGCATGCTCTAAAACGCAACACTGCTGCAGATTTATCTCACTCWTACCTCCAGCATTTGGCCTGATTTTCTTGTCGTTATTTTTGATRGCATTGTTGACAAAATCGGACAGCTTCTTTGCTTCTTCCATKGATTCTTTGTAATCCTCAATAGACCTTAAAAAAAGAATTTTATCCCGCAGATTTTAATGTMTTTTCTAATGTTTCCTTCCTAGCTTCTGTTTTCCCTTTAGCCCCCTCCCATACGTGCACACAAACAGGTGTTTTTTTTTGAAAGGCATGGGGATATCACTTACAATATTCAACTTTGAAGTACAAGACATATATCCGCCGTGAACAGCATTAGCGATTCCGAGGTCGAGGGGAACACTGGATCTAGTTGCTATTGCAGTGCATATTGGAGCTGTTTTATGGGACATCTTTCCAAGATGGTGTCTATCTGCGTCTATTTCTTCGTCTAAAGCAGTCCCAAAATCCACTGCAATAGCAACTCAGCTTTCCCCTCAACCTCGGAATAGCTATTTAGTTATTTTAGCAAACGTCCTTAATAAACAGCCTTTATAGTATTCTATGACAACAATCTCCGTGTTTTACTAAACAAGAGAAGATAGATATTTTTAGTTGCTTTGAAAAGACTTCAAAAACCTTTCCCAACAGTATGAGAATGAACCTAGTGAGTAAACTAGTGATTGTTTCGATGTCATTCTCTCAGATCCAAACACACACACACAAAAAACAACTTTACTGCCGTAGTTTATAGCATCTGTTGAAACACTGTAAAAACACGACAGCATTTAYATTAATGACAATATCAAAACTATGCGAGAATTAACAACGAAAAATATTTACAAACGTCTGCAAGCTTCCTGAAACTTCACAAAAAATTAAACTCTGTAAAGTTACCAAGAAAGTTTGCCTAATTCGATTAAAAGTTTGGACTTGAAAACCAGGAAAAAATCAACAGAGAATTTGAAAAAAATTCTTTCAGTTCGTAAAGCTTCGCCTAGAATAAGGCAGCAGAGAAATTCATGGAAAAACGAGTGAATGACGCGAAAACTGAGTTAAACACCGTGTGAAAAGTATCATTTCGGACGTCAGCCCTTCGTCGGAAAAAAAGAGGGGTAAAACTAGATTCARGTCTTTTCAAAGTAAAAATACAAATATATTGTACGTACTTTTTCTTTCTCTCAGCTGTAGAGTGAACGAGAGTAAGGAACGAGAGAAGTAGTACAACTCTTAGGAATCCACGGCCCATCTTGACAAGGAATTTTCCAAGGACCTATCTGTGAATAATAAAAGAATAAAAATCATTAAAAATGGAAGTTGGAAACAAGATAAAACTTAAATATTTAGCAAATAAAATTACAAAATTTGTATTTGGGACTCAAACTCATAAGAAAATGAAATGCTATTAAAAAATACGAGTTTTTTTACATCTTAAAAGTAGTGTTTTACGGCGTAGTGTTACGCAACTAATCGTTTCGATATTCTAATTTTAATAGAAAGATTTTAAAAAAAATCATTCTTAGTTTCTCAAACTGAAAAACATTTCGCAAAAACTTTCTACATTCTTACTTCTGTCATACTTTWAAAACGAATTTCTACATATTTGAGCTGAATTTACCTGAACTTGATATTAACAAGCTTCGAATTCTGTTAAGAATTGCTAGGTTGTTTCAATAGCCTAAATTACCAAAGAAATACCTAAATCCACTCAAGAATAGATTTATGAGTMTCGATAACGATAAAACTCAGCTTTRTYCTTGTATTATTGACGAGATTGTCCCAAAGTTGAAGTATCTAAGTATATCTAGATTCTTCTCACGTAGTGCATGGCTTTTCCGTGTTCATAGTAACATTAAAAAACTTACTTAAACACTTAATCAAAAAATCCATAAGAAAAACAAAGACTTTGATTGGTTGTTTAGTCATAATGAAATTCGCTGACGGCTTTATGCATGAAGTCAATACAGAACTGGCTTCATGAATAATGTTGTAATCTTTTTATGTTAGAAAATGAATGCGGTTATTGAAAATGGGCTCAAACTGACAGAGTGGGTACGAAGGACACCTGCATATAAACAAACAGAGAACTGAACTGAATAAAAAGAAGTGCAACTCAAGTGAGTCCATTTCAACTCAGAATAAAGGCTCGATTACACGGAGCAATTTTCTCTGCAACTTGTCTCACAACAGCGTTGCGACACAAGTTGCAAGAGTGTCTACACGTTGCAAAGGAGACGCAATCGTTGCCAAAAGTAGAAACGAATTCTGCTTTACGCAACGATTGCTGCAACTTGTTTCGCAACATTTTTCAAATTGCGCTGTATCGCAACGCCGTTGCCACAAAAGTTGCAGAGAAAATTGCTTCGTGTAATTGCGCCTTAACTGAAAAGAACTGGACTCGACTCAGATAAAACAACTCAGCTAAAAACAACTCAACTCAACGTGGCCCTAGTGGAAGAACACGACTTAACTTTAAACAACTCAACTCAACTCAAAACTGAACTCAACTCAACTCAACTCAACTCAACTCAATCAGCTCAGCTCAGCTCAGCTCAGCTCAGCTCAGCTCAGCTCAACTCAACTAAAAAGAACTCGACTTACTCAGCTTGACTTTTGTTAAATTAAATTACTTTAATTTTTAAAAAACCTGACCTATTCAGAACGAGAAATATATTTGGCAGTCGTTTTGTTCTCCTCCCTAGGAAACCGAACCACCATATAGAAACCGTCTCACTTAAATAGTGAATTACAGAAACTTTCTTTAGCACGAAAGTAAATTTCAACAACTTTCTGCACAACTTTCAACAGCTTTCTGCAATTTATATTGAACCAAAATACATCTTTCACTYCYGCGTCTCAAAAAGTTATTCTTTGCGAAAAAATTACCATAATGGTCTCTACGAATCGCTTTAATACGGTGGCCCGTAATACAAGTCTCACGGCAAAACAAAAACTCACGGCAAAACAAACTAAACTCACGGCAAAACAAACTAAACTCACGGCAAAAGGCAATAAATTCACGGCAAAATAAACTAAACTCACGGCAAAACAAACTAAACTCACGGCAAAAGGCAATAAATTCACGGCAAAATAAACTAAACTCACGGCAGAATAAAGAAAGCCACGGCAGAACAAAGAAAGCCACGGCAGAATACAATAAAGGTTGTGATGGGCAACGACGTATTGGGTTCCCTGTTGATTTTTTTACCGCGAGCAATTTGTCAGCGGTTTTGATGTTGTAAATACAAATGGCGTCTGGTTAAATACTCATAAATTTACAATGCAAAGTTTATCAATTTATCATAACCTTTAAAAGACTTKAGACTTCAATATTGACCCTGAAACAATAAGAACGCTTTATAATTATTCCAAAACAAAAAGTTTCAATGATAAGAACCTAAGCTTGACAAGAAATAATTTAAAATGAATGTATGTAATGAAATGAATGGTTTTAGGAGATATTTTTGAAGAGAAAAATCGGTTCAAGGTTTGTCATCTTAGTCGCCGGCTATGTGATTCCAAGCCGATCGGTTTTTGGATGCTCGATGTTCTAGCTCAATCAATCGCGTTTGAATAAAGTTATCAAATGAAATATCCACCACTTAGCAACATTTTGAGGCAAGTAACAGCCCTTATGGTCAAAGGCCACCTTTCGTCATTTAGTTCTCAGATGTTTTAGCAGTCAGGAAACAAAACAATCCTTCGTTCGCGAGAGTTGCCAGTGAAGCTAACGTGGTCCCCAACGTGGCCATAAATGGCAGAGACTTCACCGTACAAGTATGTAGAAATTGAAAGTACACACAGTGTAAATATAGGAAATCACCAACTGCAAGAAAATCCACACCAAACCGGTGAGACAGATTTGGCATTCATAATACTTTCTCGCCWGGAGATGTTCACACAACGACGGTCAAATGCAAATGAAGCATAATGAAACTTTTACCCCACAATGCTTCACGCGACTTGATCACCCTCCTCTGATTCTTCCGTGGCTTTCTTTATTCTGCCGTGAGTTTAGTTTATTTTGCCGTGGCTTTCTTTATTCTGCCGTGAGTTTAGTTTATTTTGCCGTGGCTTTCTTNCCGTGGCTTTCTTTATTCTGCCGTGAGTTTAGTTTATTTTGCCGTGGCTTTCTTTATTCTGCCGTGAGTTTAGTTTATTTTGCCGTGGCTTTCTTTATTCTCCCGTGAGTTTAGTTTGTTTTGCCGTGAGTTTAGTTCGTTTTGCCGTGAGTATTTGTTTTGCCGTGAGACTTGTGGGCCACCGTACTTTAAAAATGAAATATTTTAAAATGATGCCGAAGACGAATCAAACATGTTGTTCAAATATAGTTAATGAAGTGTTGGGGAACTACTGTTAATAGCGAAAAATCTAGTTACAGATCTGACCAAAATTTTTTCGTATTTTTAGAAATGTTATAACTATGTACTTTAGTACTTAAAAAAAACTACTATTTCTTTTTTCTTCCTATTTTTTATTTTTTCTTCGATCTGATTGAGTTGAGGATTAAGAAAGCATTCATTGAGTCACATCCACACTTGCTAACGATGTAGTTAGATGGTAATTGCCCTATTTTACTATGACGTCACTGCTTGTTTATGTGGGGGATAGAATCGCCGAATCCAATAGAAAATTCAACAAAATTTGCTCGTAGCGAAACAGTTTAATCCAAAATGGCCTGGTTTTCAGATATAATGTGTGTTATTATGTACTTACAAATATTCTGAGCGTTTGCTGGCTATACTACTTCTCTTCGTGGATTGATACGGGTTTTAGGATAATTTTCGGTGAATTTGCGTTGATTTGACCCCCTCCGACGACCATGATCCTTTGCGTTTAAACAATAGATTGTTTTGATGTGACGTCATAGTGAAATAGGACAATTGATACCGAGCACTTAGTAGCAAAAAAATATCGCTTTCTAAACTCGAACATGGAAGGATGGCCACAAGTTTGTTAGYCACTGTCCTGTAAAATATAAAATTCTCTACTTTCTCATCCCCATAATACTTTGCGTCTTTGGGGGGTAACCAGAGGGTAAAAACCCACTTATTTTGCTGAAGGCTGATCAGACAATGTTGACAATACCTTAATTGTTTGGTATCCAAAGATAAAATGAAGAAGTAAAAAACAGAAAAAGATAGAAACTTGAAGACGTTTAAGGTAAATATTAAAAATTTTTTCGTAAGTCAATAAATTTTCTGTAAGACCGAAGCTCATGATGATCTGTACACGCAAAAATAACTTGGAATAAACTAAGAATCAGTATTGTACAGATAAAAGCAGGTATAGTATAAATTCAATTAAGAAACCTTTCAATTTGGGACAGTTTTTTGATTGGTTACCCCCCAAAGACGCAAGGCATTATGGGGATGTGAAAGTAGAGARTAAAATTGCCCCGCAATTCTTGTAGTACTCTTTAAAAAAGATACTGTGTTTCGTAATTCTTGTAAGTCGGTAGGATGCATTGAAATGAGAAACCGCATACACAGTGTTTTGTAGGCTCATTTCATTGCTAGGCTTTCGGCCGTAGTGGCCATTTTCGCCGATGTAACATATGACCACTTACAACTGGGCGAGCTAACTAAGATTTCAATTCCTCTGTAAAACTGCCATCTAAGTCGAAACCATGAATATAGTTCTAAAGAGCTCTCGTAAGCCCMGTTTACACTAGCGATTTTTGCRGCGATTTTTGCTGCGATGTTTTTACGATTTTGCCTATAATAAATAATGGTAAAGAATTTACTTGTAAAGTTTTTTTCAGGATACCAAGATTTTCCTAGACGAATGTCTCTTTTGAACGATGAGACAAAAGATTTCATATTGCCGAATATTGCCGCAAAAATCGCAGCAAAAATCGCAGCAAAAATCGCCGCAAAAATCGCCAGCGTAAACGGGGCTTTAGGCATTTTCTAGAGCATCTGAATATTGGTTGTTTTTGATATTTTCAGCCCACCGTTTTCTAGAAAAGTGGCTTTGTGATACTACGACTTGAAATTAATTACTAAACAACAGGAAAACAACGGGAAGTCGTCTAAGACTTTTTTAATCTAAAACTTTTTTTATTACGACAATTTGTTTTCCACATTACGTGGTGATTTTTTGGGACTTCAATTTTGAATTCTATTGTTTCAAAGCTATTGTGTCTTATTTATTTAGTTATTTTGTCTAGTAGATTTCTTGACCAATATGGTACCCCCCCCCCCCCCCCCCCCCTCCCCCACCCCCCCCCCCGTGATTGAATGAACTACTGGAAATTTAATGACAAGCCATGTCAATATCACAACCACACCCTGTTTGGCGGCACGTACCCGTGCAGCAAATATAGGGGAGTACCCCCCCCCCCCGGGACTTTCATGTTCTCTCTTTTGTTGCCAATTACACANTAATACGTGTGGATGGTATATGATTCATTGTTGTCAGTATGCGTCTTAGTTCAGGACTGAGGCCAGATATTTTGACCCAAAGTCCTTTGCGCGCGTAGCTGTGCAGTACATCTGCTTCAAACGTTTGTAAAACAGCGTTTTTTTCAGAATAATATTTTATAACTTAGACAGAGAAGACACATTGCCTCGTTTACCATTTGGTTAGTTTAAAATCGAACATCCAATTATTCAATTACAAATGGCTACAGAATTTATCAGTATTAAGTTTTTAGCAATACGTTAGCAACGTAGAGTATCGGCTGTTTGAGTGTGTTTGCTGGTATGCCAKGTGCATGCGAAGCCGAACAAATACAAAAATATCCTGACAAATCTATATGAGGATGTCTCAATAACTATATCGCCCAAGCTTGTTATCGCTAGTTCTTAGGAGAGAAATTTTTGGAGGAGGGCTTTGCCTTCACAGGGTTCATCAGTAAAAATTTGGACGTTTATCTGTGTCCTTGTTGAATTAATAGAAGTTATGAATGTCTTCCTGCGTGCACAAAAGGAAGAAGACTACAGCCATTTTAAAAAGATTACTCGTTACAATCAAGTTTAGATCGTAGCTTGAAAACTATAATAAAAAATATACTGATTTCAATRACCAGCTTTAACAAAATAAACATTCATGTCCTATCGGACTAATGTATGGATTCATTGTCATTTCATTCAAGCTAGATCCCAACGGGGTTTTCCTAGTTTTCAACGATCTTACAATACGGTCTTGTTATGAAAGTACCTGTATAATACGAATACAAATTAAACTCTAGAATCTTTATCTCAATCTCTTATCAAACCACAAAAATCTCAGCTAAGAATTAGTCATCACCGGATAATCAAGTATTTGAAAATATCCAAATGAGAAGAGCTTTGAGGTTAAGAGAACTCTACGTCTATCACCGAAAATTAATATACCTGTTATAAATAATTCATAGTTCCATAGTTTACCCGATAAAAGAAAAAGAATTATGATAATAAGCAGGAAAATACGGTAAATGTTCTCGACAAATATTTGCGTTAGGATGTCTGTCTTTTCACGGAATATYTCCGTCTTGGACTCGAAGGAAAAAGACCCAAAATATTAAAAACTTCGCGAGTTTTAAGTYTAAGTTTTCGGAAGCAACGCCGATAATTCATAATTTGTTTATGTTTGTGGATTTGAAGTAAGAAAATCTGAAGAGCATACTGTATACAAACGTTTCTGTGGATAATGGGATTTTTGGAAAACTTTCGAGAATAACGTTGTAAAAATAACTAGTGACCCGACCGAAATAATCCCCAAACAATTCAAACTTCAAAAGCTAAAAACGTCTAAACTTTAAAAAGCTGGACAAAGTGACTCCTGGATTTAGCGACAGATTTACAGTCAACCAAGCTATAAGAAATTAGATAATTTTGAATTATTATCCGTTGAAAATTGAACGAACTAGTCTTCTTGGATATCTTGTGAGGAATTTCCTCGTAGCACTTAGGTGTATTAGAGAACTTCGCGATCAAAATACCGATATGTTAAGACAAATGAATTTTTTTTACGAGACATCTTAATAATTGAATAATTCTTCAATCTAACATTATAGTAGTACAAGTAGTAGTAGGATTGTCCTCACAGGTAGAAGTTTGGTTTTTGTTTTGGATCTAGCGCAAAGCAGCATTTCATATAAAGAATAGAATTATTAYTATTATTATTATTCGTATTGAAGCGAACTTAACTGCCAGGGTTACCTAAAGCCATTTAACAAAGAAAAAGTTTGATTCATTGGAAAAGTCTTTCTCTGTTGATATTTGGAAGAATAGTCGATGCTTTTAATGTGAGTTTACAAGCGAACCGYTCCGTTCCTTATTCATCAATTGTTACTCAAGTTTACCCCTCTTGAAAACCAATTCATAACATATCTATCGGTCAACAAAATCAGCAGTTATCCAGTTAGGGTAAATGTTACGAAGTGACAGATAGTAATTTTTTCCCGAGAATTTTTRAATATTTTTGCGGGTACTAGTAAACACAATTGCTTGGTGCTAGCACCAAATGTAACAAACTAAACGCAACAAAATCCTACTTCGATACTATTTCTTGCAATTCACGGTAAGAAAAAAAATCAAATTTGAAAATTATAACTTWAAAAAAAGTAAATAAAAGAAAGATAAAAATAGTTAAAAGTTACCTACCTCTGATAGTGTTCTGAAAGAATGCAGAAATTTGAATAACCGAAGCGTACGAAGCGAGCGTAGCTTGTGCGATTCTATACTAATCCTAGGTCTAAGGCGGTGGTGGGATGATTATGAGATAGCTCTATGCTAATATGTTGTGTATGCGGTGAGTAACGCTGGACTGATGGGCAGTAGGGGGCCTGCATATGTACGCATTCGAGCCAAGGACACTCGTATCTCTACTGTCTATCTCCCTATAGGCTTGGAAATAATCGTATCAATGAATAAAACATCATAAGATTTCCCCTGTTTGTTGGCTGAGATTAACGTTTCACGGTCATCTAACAGTCGCAGATTGCCATAAAATTTTATTAGAATCATTTTAACGAAGAATTGCAAATACGAGTTAAAAACAAACTCTCTTACGACCTCAATAGCAAGACCGCCGCAATCCAAAACGACAAAATCTCAGCATGAAATTCTTGTACATAAACAAGAAACAATGTACATTTGTAAGAATAATTTCTAATAATATCAAAATTCAAAACGACTTGAATAATGACATTCATTGATGATTCAAAGTATGGAAAARAATTAAGACAATGAAAACACTCACACCAACTTTTTATCTCGTATAAAGAAATYAGGTCGTTGCCACGGAAGCTCACACATAAAAACAGGCGATTTTTAAATATTAACAACAAGACCGATAACAAAACAATACCAGATAAAAATATTTATCTTAATTTTGAGTAATGATTCGGATTTGAGCTTTCAACATTGTAACTTTGCTACAAAGCCGGCTTTGTTAAATTTTTTGGATAACGCAAGCATTATGTTAATTCAAAGATCATTCAAAATTTTTCTTAAATCTCATAGTTTCTGGCTTTAAGCCAAAATACCAGCTGCAGTTTGGAGAGTTGAATGACTTAAAAGAGTTCGAAAAAAACAGATAGATGGGCGTATATCAGTATTATTGCTAAATACGCGAGCTAGGGGATGGACGTTTAAGTTTAGAGTAAACAACCAAGTCTTCCGGCGCACGTATTTTCTTGAAAAAATATTTTTGTAATCCAAAATTTAAAGGTCTCCATTAAGCATTCCCGTTTTTGACGTGAATACGTCCTTTATGGAATMCAGCAGAGTTCTCCAGAACAAATAATCAACATAGGCTAATCGTTGGAATAAATCTCTTGATATTAATCTAACTACTTATCTCCGGAGATTTTAAATTTGATTTAAGGGTTTTACGATGTTTTAAATTGATCAAAAAGTCTGAGGATTAAGTACGTACATCACCGGCAAATTGCTCTGTTACTTGGAGTTTTTGTGGCCAAGATATCTTGCTGGGAATTGCTTGGATTTATTCATAGCACATTTCATTTTGGTTTTTTTTATTATTTTGCTTTGTGAGCTCTTGTACAGCTTGCTTTTTTTGYACGTATTCTACGAGGGTGCCAATGGGAGTACCCAATCGTCAGCTAACTACTAATTTTCCAGCCGAATGTCAAATAAATGTTAATAGTCATAATATTAACTAAAATCATGAAATATCAGTTCACTGTTAACTACTAATAATTCTGGATATTTTTTTGGTAACAAAACGATTTTCTTTCCTGATTAGATCAGAAATCGTTATAGAAAGCTGGCAAAACAAACCATCCTCAACTTGTTTTTGTTTTTGTTTTTTGTTTTTTTTTGGCGCGTTATAGACCCCCTATATAGCTAGCTACCTTAGGCCCAAAACAAGAATTTTTACATCCAAGAATCTTCAATTAATGGTTAGGGCTGAAAGGGTTAATTTAAAACGTAGTTTCTACAGG